TACTAGCGTGGGAGTCCACACTAGGGCAAAACATCAAGCAATACAGCAAAAGATTGCTTACGAAGCGAGTCCGCTTCGGATAGGACATATCCGGATGTGTTGACTCCATCAGGTGCCTCCCCACTTACTTTGTAGGCTTTCTCTCACCTGTGCTTGTTGCAGCGGGTTCTCCAAAACGGGAATTTTTGGGGTGGGGGGGGGGGAGGTTTGGAGGATTCTCAACGTCAGGTTCGAAATCAGGGCCTTGAGAAGGCTGAGAGCGACAAAAACATGAAAGAATGATTAGCAGTGAAGTCTGGTAATGCTTTAAAATTCAACGCCGAGCTAGTTTCGTAAAACTCACATGGAGCTTGATAAATTCAATATACAAGTGTCTCAATGAATTATAATAAAATTGGAAGAAACGGTGACATCACATTAATTCTACTATGATATTCAGAGGTGATTGTCTTAGAGCTGCACCTCACAACGGGTAACGATCACGAAGTGTTAAGACGGCTTAGTCATTGTTTGTAGACATATACTTTACAAAGAGATAGCATAAAAAGCAGAATGTATTCACATAAGGGCAGAAACTATATATTTGAGCAAAAAAAGCAAAAAATGCATTTTCAGAAATTCGAATGACCACGCAACCATGAAGACCTCTTGCAAGGCAGTGGAGAAATTTGAGCCTAATTGCTAACGTTAAGAGTAGTGCAGAACAATTCTAGCCGGTTCCCATAGCTATAGTGTTTCAAACATGGATAAACAGCATTTGATGTTTTTGCCTCAAACACTCTTCAAAGCCTGAGTGGTGTATGGTGCTGAACATTTATGTTTTTTCCAATACAGTCCTTCAATAAAAGGTGGGAAATAAGTTCACTCTGCTGCAATGTCCTATGGTTGTTGGTATGAAGCCAAACATTACAGCGAAAAAGGATGAGCAGTCATTTTATATTTGTAGATTCGGAACAAATTTTGTGAAAATAAAAACAAAATTCATTCAGAGAGCAAGAACGGCAACTCCTAGTGGGAAAAACATCTGGACATTTAGTTAAATACAAAGATTCAATAAGAGGTTTGGATTAAATATACTGCTCTAAATCTTGTAGTTACCGACCTATTGGCTCAATACTCGCGACATTGTCAGTCCTTCACGGATAAGTATGTCAACACTCCTGTTTTATTTATTTACAGTTATGGTATGCTACCAGGCACTAAAGGTGGCAATTTAAGAATGTGGGAAAGGTTTTGTCCCCAGGGGTCAGGCACTAGATTTGATTTGAGATCGAGGGACAGATGGGCCAGGGGAAATCACTCGGGGGGGGGGGAGGGAGTTGGTAGATGGAAGTAAATTGTGCGAAAGCAACAAACTCCCATAGAATCGAGCAGGCAACAATATTGCGGGTCAAAATGGAAATGATTACGAATTAATGCTATAGATAGTCGAAAGTATGCGCTATGTATCCATATTGCTCGCGCACGCTGTCCCGCTGATATACTATATTCAGTCCAACAGGCTATATATTTTGTACGGGAAAAGTATGCGTTGTGAAGGACTTGCAGAGAGCTATGTTGTGGACACGCTTTGACTAGGGAAATTTCTTGATTAGGCATTTTTCAGCAGTGGAAATTCTTAATGCTGATTGAGCGGACGCAAAAACCAAAAAGGGCTTTACTTAATGATTCAAGTTTGAAGCAGTAAAACAGATGAAACCCATTTGTTGCCATCTAGTATGACGGGATAGGCATCGTTATGCTACCTTTAGTGCTCCCTCCATTCTCTTTCCAGTTTTATGTGAACACGAGAGGATTCGTCAAGCCATCACCGTCAGCAAGAAGCCATTAAGGTTCAAAAATTTTTTTTTTGCAAAAGAACCTGCCTACTTGTAGTGTACCTATGAAAATATGCTGCTTTTGCTGCAGCTATTCCTAAATGAACGGCTGTTGTGAGGAACAAGTGTATACTTTGTTTCCCCCGAAGGGTACCAGAAAAGCTCTTATGTGCGTTATGCCATAAATAACACACCGACTAGTACCTCAAACAATGGTGATGTTTGAGGAGAAGGGAAACAACAAGAAACGCATTCACTGATATAAAATTTAACAGTAAAGTTTTCTTCTCTCTACGCTAATACACTGAGAGCCTTAAGAAGAAAATAATAGAGGTCTTTTTGCAAGTTAAGGTCTAGAATTGTTCTGCACTACCCTCAACATTAGCATTCAGGCTCAGATTTCTCCACTGCCTTGCAAGAAGTCTTCATGGTTGCGTGATTATTCAAATTTCTGAAAATGCATTTTTTGCTCACTTTGCTCAAATATTTAGTTTCTGCCCTTATGTGAATACATTCTGCTTTTTCTGTTTTCCATCTCTTTGCAAAATATATGTCTGAAAACAATGACTAAGCAGTCTTAACACCTCGTGATCGTTACCCGTTGTGCGGTGCAGCTCTAAGACAATCATCTCTGAGTACAGTGGTAGAATTAATGTGATTTCACCCTTCCTTATAATTTTATCATAATTCATTGAGCACAGTTGTACATTAAATTTTCCAAGCTTCATGTGAGTTTTACGAAACTACCATGGCATTGAATTTTGAAGCATTACCAGGCTTCACTGCTGTTCATTCTTCCATGTTTTTGTCGTTCTTAAGCTTGTCGTATGTCTTCCATTGGCAACAGGTGACAACGTCATTAATGCCTACTTTGTTAAGTCCGGCCGCTTTCAACCTTTTTTCCAGAAGATAGCAGTCGAATGCGATCTCTATGTAAGCCTATCAATTTTTGCAGTTTTGTCGAATAATCACATATCTGGACGGACTAAAGATGGTTACTTCCATGGTACTTTTGAAGGTGGGGAAAGTTCTAATATGTGGCTTGAAGTGATAAATATGAATCAAATAAGATAATTCATTATATAAAGGGTGGACTTAGTCCCGATGTGTATTCTTGCTAGAAGGGTGAAAGGAATCGATGAAGGCGGGGGGGGGGGAAGAAGGGGACTTGAAAGCAGGGCGATGGAAACAGCAGATGCGATATACATATTATCATCTTCGAAAAATATATTATTTTTAAAAGTATGCACGTCTTGCTTAGCAGTAATGTGGGCTTGTTTCTCCACATAGACAGCCATCTAATTCAGTTCACAATTACTATAAATATTCTGGACGGAACATTGTGCCACCATTGTCGTATCCTGGCAAACGTTACCATTAAAGGCAGTGTCTGGGCAAAAACTCGATTTTTAGAAAATCCACGGGGTTATCCGCAACGGTGAATCCAAAAATCCACATTAGAAGACGGAAAAAACGGCGAGAACATGGGTTTTCCAGCCTCACAATGTGAAAATCGAGGTCCCCGCCAAGGCTGAGACGCAGAGTCGCTGCGGGCCCTACGATTCTGACGTGGCGGCATGCTACTCTGCCGCATAGCAGGAACTCAAACATGTCGGAAGACCCGGTCCCAAGGCGTAAGTTCCCCCACTTTCCGGTCATTTTTCTTGCTTTGAGTCGAACGTTATCACCTCTCACTTGCGCGATCTTGTATCTGAGCGAGGCCACTTTCGCACGGCACTAAAAACCCAAGACCCCCACCGCCACCGTGCCCGGACACTGCCTTCAACGTAAACTTATGCCACAGACATGTTTCGCTATGATACAAATGTGTCTATTCCCCAATGTATATTGAGTTACTTTGCGTCGTATGTTAATGCTAGCGTTTTACTCTTGCACCTATGCGTACATATCGGCTGTTCATAAAAGTTTATTAGCTCGTTCTGTTCTGTACCAACTCCGATTTCTTTTTCTTCCCAGCGCTGTATTATCAAAATGAACTTTCTGAGGAGCGCACACGAAAACCGCAAAGTTTCTACTTCGTGCTTTTGCGTAGTTGGAATTTAGCTGATTAGAACTGTATTTCAGTTGTCCTTTCAAGAAAGAGAGAGCTGTCTAACGCGATCACTGGAACATATAACGAAAGTGGTAGAGAAATAAATACAGTTATCCATTTGCCAGCACCATGACGCACCCTTTTTCCAGTTTACATAAACAATAAATTGATAGTGATTGGGTTCAAAACGCTAAGATACGGAATAGAGTGCCGATCTTGCACTTGAGGTTGAAAAGCGAAGCGTAAAATTTTAGAAAATATCTGGATTGCTTCCACGAACTCAGAAATGCTAAAAGATCGCAACAACATAAGATAATGTCTCTAACTAAACTACATCCGATATTTTCTGTCTCGCAAGAAATTTGCTTAAAAAATTACATAGAAAGTCGGTAGTCTTATTTTACATCCTATTACTCCAATGAAGCAAGAGAGAGCAGAGGTAAACATTTGTAATTCATTTACTTCTTCAGGATAAACTGTTCTATTCGACATCACGTTCTTATTTGTTGATGTATGCCTACTTATTCGGTGTACTGCACTTGGACGACTGTGGCCGTATATGTCAGAACTTGCACTTTCCAATCCGTATTTTTGGCTGCAGCCATGACAACAAGACAACGCCGACACTGTCCTTCAAAATAGTGCAAAATTTATACACCTCAGGCAGGCGCCATACTCCTCGAGGAGTATAGCATGGCGACGGGCGATTGTCAATCGCCACGACTGGCGATCGCCAATATCGGCGTCGCCGGTTTTACGCGTATTTGATGCGCATCGATCGTCGCCATGCTATAGGCCCCGGGCAGACTTCAAGCGATTTGATCGTCGCGACTGAATCGCCACGAGACAACTGTTATAACATCATTCCATGCCGATCAACTTGCATTCGGTTGTGATACTTTTCCAGACCGAAATTTTTGGATGTGAAATGAAAATGAATGGAAATCTTGGCGATTAGATCGCGACGATTAAGTCGCGTGAAGTGTAACCGGGGCCATACTCCTCGAGAAGTACAGCGCGTGCCCAACATTCTGCTTAAATTTTCCAAAATTATTCATTGTTTTTGAAGAGGTGTTGTTTTCATCGGTTTCGCGTGACTCATTTCTCCCTTTGATTGCTGCTGGCTGGTGATGTGTTAGTGAAGAATACAAGTACAAGACCTTATTACAAAAAGTGACATCATTCAGATTGGAAAAAGAAGACAAAGCCACCCGAATTCACTCTGAAGGATGTGACGATAGCAAAGTGAGTGTTAGCGCTTAAGTTGTTTCCATAGAGTTTAACACGAAGAATACGGGTAGGGTGAAAAATTTCCGATTCAATGCTCAAGTGAGGTTCTTTTAGAGCATTGCCATTTCTATCAGTCACAATAACTCCAGATGTGTACCTTATCACTGGAACTGGCGCGCAAACCATCGTTCATAAAATTGATAACAAAAGCCCGTTTGCAGTTGTTGTCAAGGTAGAAATTAGTTATCCTCGAGTCATTTGTAACTTATTATGTGAGTGTGCACACTTTGCACGGCAGCCGACGGCAACCTTACTGGTAACTCCTCACTGAAACCCTTTCTAGCTTAACAAACTGTAAATATGTGTTGTGCTACCTTATCACTGGAACTGGCGCGCAAACCATCGTTCATAAAATTGATAACAAAAGCCCGTTTGCAGTTGTTGTCAAGGTAGAAATTAGTTATCCTCGAGTCATTTGTAACTTATTATATGAGTGTGCACACTGTGCACGGCAGCCGACGGCAACCTTACTGGTAACTCCTCACTGAAACCCTTTCTAGCTTAACAAACTGTAGATATGTGTTGTGCTAACTAGCATATAACCATCAAATCAAAAGAGACAAGGAAACAAGCAGAAATCACTAGAAATGAGCAGGTCCCAATCTTGCAAGTTCGTCAAGTAAGGCGCATTACGTGCATTACACATATTAAGTTACAAATGACTCGAGGATACTTTATCTCAATTAAGAAAAGAACTCGGATCTCAACAACGCGAAATGCACATTCTTTGTGCTTTTTAGGTACTTGCTACAGCACCCGCACGATTCACCATATCGAAAAACAATTTTTTCATTGAGGGAAACTCCTCAAGTTCAATACAAGTAAGTTGAGTTAATTATATTATTCAAATACTTCAAAACGAACGGCACAGATACTGTTTCGCCAGTCGTTCACTTCCTAGAGATCCGCCAAAAAAAATTGCTCGCTAATTTTATAGCGCTATTGGATTAAATATCGCCAAGGATTTCCCTCAATGAATTCCTACCATTTCAAAATAAATTGCTTCTTGACAAAAGCTTAATTACATAGAGATCAATGCTTTCAAAAACTGTGGTTCGCTTTTCTCAGCCCACCAAAACAATCATTATGTTTTGAGAACAGCTGAGCTAAAGAGATGCATGACTTAAATACAAAGCAGTGGGATGATATATTGACACATACGTAATTTACAATAAGTTGTCATTTTCAGATGCACGCTGTCATAAAAACCACCATGAAATTCTTTCAGATCAAACTCAAAACCGGTGCCGTGCGATCTCATCGCCTTGATCTTCTGTTCCTTCCCTGTATAGATACCCTGAATCCAAACTGGAAAGCAAATCCATGCATTGCTTTCAATTCCTCTTATAAGCCTATCATTAGACATATACGGTATGTTTTCCATAATTCTTCACTAACTCTGATACGTCGCAATTCTGCTCTATATGAGAATAGCGCCGACTATGGCTTGAATATGGGTTATTAATTTGAGTAAACCAAAACTCTCAGAGGCAAGAGGTTCCCTACCATTTCGCTCAAGTTTTGAGATTCACAATGTTAGATGTGACTTTGATATAGTGCCCTTGAAGTATAATTTTCGCGCAAGCAAGTACTGTACTTTTGAATGCCGTAAGTTGCTTGTGTCTTGCGCGTGAACAAAGGCCATAAAGGCACACGACGCGGCCTAGGCAAAAATGTTGTTGACTTGATAGAACACTGTATTGAGAGTAAAGATCCGGGCATATATCACGTGGTTTTATCGCCTCGCAATCCGAGAAGACTGTTACGATTCTACTGCATACGCGTCGTCTTGCGTTTAAACTGTGATAGATTTCCTACGCCATTAATAGCGAGTAACACAAGAAGATCGATGCAATGCATGTGGCATTTGTCTTGTCAAGTTCGAAAAATGATTAGTTTATTTTCCATGATTTAGTGTTTTCTATTACTTATATTCATGGTTCATGGTAGCATGATAAACCAACCGGTCTCATCCACAGTAAATTTACGCTCATACCAACGCTCTCCGGAAACTAGTACACCAAACGGCATCCTAGATCACATTTGCTGAAAAAACAATCTCATCCGAACATGAACTAAGGTGTCTAAATTTTCCAATTCATAATCTTGCTTTTTCTAAATTGGAATTTCATTCGGGTCAAGTCAGCTAACTTTTGCTCGCAAGCTCGCTGGCATTAGAGGAAGTATAGTCGTAGAACTTAGTGATCTACAGCGTTTTGATTTGTAGTTGTTTTCGCCTTCCCATACTAATTAATTATCTTAATAATCTTAATTAATTATCTTCCTGAGTTTTGAGACTAGCTAGTATCGCGTTTTCGAGTCCTTCTTTCCTTCTATTTTTGGTGCACTTCAAGTTCATTTATAAATAAAGGCTGCTGCATGAAGAAGGCGCAGAAGCCTTTTTAGCTGAGCGGGCGCGAAGGCTGCGCGGGCTTATCTTCACCGTTTTGAACTGCACCTCATGCGCTCTGCGGCCAAGGCCGCGTTCGCATCCAAAGATATTGCGCCTTCGTCATGCAGCGGCCTATAAGTACATAAATGATATGGATTGTAGATACAAGGCTCCTCGTCCATGGACGCCAATCGTTGACAATGTATGCCTATCCAGTTATCAAGTAAGTATTCTCTCTTTTGCAAATTCCACGAATTTGGTTTAATGAAGAATAAATGACCGTGCTGTGCACAGCAATAGATGCGCCATACAGTCCAATCTCAGCAACCCCTTTTCTTAGGGCGCTACGTTTCCTGAGCGCAAAGGCCTTGCGAGGCAAGCTTGTATCAATGAGGTCAATTTGAATGTCCAACCCGGACGTAGGCGATCGTGACGTTCTGCTCTGACTAGCGAATGAGCTTTTATAGACTTAAGCAGCGTCTAGACAAATCTGCTCTATGGGGATCTTGCTTGGAAATCTATTTTGGGGCCCTAACTAAGCCACTGCCCAACCGGCAGCTCGGGTTAGTGCTCTAACGGCTGAGATATTCTCTTCGAAACTAGACCCCAGGATAGTATTTCGCATCCATCCATGGCGCAACGCGTGGGTCCTCGCGCGAAACTGATTGCGCCATGAATCCATGCGAAATATGATCCGAGTCCATTTTTGAGGGAAATATCTCAGCCGTAGAGCACTACCTGCGCTGCCAGTTGCCAGTGGCTATCACTATCCACGTGAGATACCATATGTCCAGATTTGCCTGGGCGGTCCCTTCAAGTATGCGATTGGAACAGACTGTACGTTTCTCAGCAGTGACGTTGTGTAATCGAACCGCAGAAAATGTCAATCACAAATACAGTAGTCACCTCTGAAGTAGAAAGTCGAGGGTAGTTTGCTCTTATCAATACACTGAACTTGACCAAAAACAGATTTCTCACATTGGTCATAGTTACTCAAAAACAAGGATGAAAAATTGTGTCAATCCAGTAAATAAGGATATTCAAAACAAATTCAGATATCAGATAATATAAGCAGATTTTGTCAGGAAAATGGCCTTTTCATATCAAAAAAGGTCAGTCATCTCTTTGTTTCCTCAATTCATGCTAAGCGCGGTTATTATCAGAACACTATCAATATGAACGAATTTGCTATACTTGATGAAGTCTTTGGACAGAATTTAGAAAAGGATCCCACGAAGTATCCCAGATGATTGTGATTATGTCTGTGAATAGAGGTTTCCAGAACAGTGTCTTCGCGCACGTGGATCAACATGTCCATACGTGTGTAGCACCTCACCATGACCAATTTTGATGGACCAGGCTAGCACCACTCGTTGTACAACATTTCATCAGATAGAACGAGCAGGTGCTAAATATCAACAATGAATATGAGGCTGACGATAGTGGGTTTTATCGAACCGACACCAGAACTGAGCATTCAGGCCCTCTCATGCCATTAATGTGGGTGTGGCTAACCTAGATGCTCACTTTTGGTGAGGTAGTATCATAGAGCATGAAGGACTGTCTACATGAACGATGCTCCCAAACAGACTGTTAGCACAGTGAAGGGGTGAGCTGACAGCTTAAATGGTTAGTGAACGGTAACGTCTGTCAGCGACAAGCTATTATGTGCGGAATATGAAATACATGTGAAGGTTGTATCATCTATTCTACGACTAGGAGACGCGAGACCGCATTGCGGACATTGTCTTTACAAGTCTGAGTTTGTTTTTCCGTGTTTCCAAAGAGTGAAAAAATCTGAACGAGATAAATAACAAGTATAAATTTGCTAAGTACACGATTAGGCATGTTAGACAATGTGTGCAATGCGGTCTCACGTCTCCTAGTCATGAATGATAGATTTGACTAATCTACGAATGGCTTAATGTGGAAAATCAGGGGAAAATATGTTCGATCTTGTTAGACAAGGTGTACACAGGTGTTCCCAAGTATCACTTCAACGATTACCTATATATTTTCATTTCATTTATTACATGGGGGGACCCATGTCAGGTAACAAACAAAAAACAGTCAAAGAAAACAATATCAAGTGAGGTGTTATACCTAGAATAACAACATCAAACCGTGTTAGTAACAACATCAACTATCGGACTGCAGATAATCCTTCAAAATGTTTTTGAATAAAGAAAGCTTAGCAGGAAATGCCCTTTTTCTTAAGAGCGAATCCATATCGTGAATAATGCGACATGTAAAAAAATTTCGCCTAACCATTAGCCTTGCCCTGGAGATGATAAGTTTTCTGGGACCACCTCTGGTATTGGATGGTCTAGTTGGAAAAAACTCCGAAAAATCCAATCCACAATTTCCAAACAAGATTTTATGGGCCATTATAAGGTCATTTTTACGTCTTCTATACGCAAGGGATGTCAAACCTAATTTCTTGTCACGAATCTTGCTATTAGGAATAAGATCGTACGCAAAACCCAAAGTGCGTATAAATAGCTTTCGTGTAAAACTTTTCTGAACATTTTCCAAGTAGTTTATAGTTTTACACAGATGTGGGTTGTATATCACAGTCCCATATTCTAACATAGGTCTGATGTAAGTCTTGTATGCTTTCAAAAGAACCCCTGTGTCCTTTGTTGAGAACGCTCTAAATAAGTTATAGACCGCTCTCATTGCTTTATCCGCTATAACCTTGCAGTGCTCCTCAAAAGTAAGACTACTATTTATCAAGAATCCAAGGTCTCTGACCGACCCTATTGCCTGGAGAACTGAATTTCCTAATGAGTAACTAAAATTAGAAGTACGGTTTTGCGGACCAATGCTCATGAATTTGGTTTTTTTTCTTGAAATTGGCAAATTCCATTCTTGCGACCATTTATAAACGTCGTCTATCGCTTCTTGCAGGCGCCTGCGATCACCATCGTTGATAACCGTGGTGTACAGCTTGAAATCGTCTGCGAACGCACTGCAAGAAACGCCGTGCTTTGTAGGTATAGTGGGGAGTTCATAGGTGTAAATGTTGAACAGAATAGGAGACAGGACTCCTCCCTGGGGCACCCCGCTACCCATGAGTCTAGGCTCGGAGAACGTGTTATTGATACGGACAACAAATGTCCTATCTTCAAGAAAAGCTTTGATCCAGTCGACAATACGAGGATGCAATCCCACAATCCTTAGTTTTTGAACTAGCTTGATGTGGTGTACCTTATCAAAGGCCTTAGTGAAATCCAAGTAGATTACATCCGTATTGAGGCCTTTATCAAAGTTGAGCGTCCATTCATTGAGTGATTGCAACATCGCAGTAGACGTGGACCTACCACGCTGAAACCCGTGCTGTGAAGAGGAAATAATGCCATGGTTATTCAAGTGTTTAACAATATGTTTCTTCAGAACTTTTTCAAATAGCCTGGCAAAGACTGAAGTGATACTGACGGGACGAAAATTTTTTGGACAGGTATAAGGTTTCTTTTTCGGAATGGGCGTTACATACGAGGTGCGCCATCTCTTTGGGACTTCAGCCCTAGTTAGACTCATATTGAACAAAAACTGTAATGGACCAGCAATTATATGCGCAATTGACTTAATGAATTGGAGAGGTAACATGTCGGGAGTGAGAGATGAAGACCTGGGCCAAGTAATCAACAATTTATAAATTTCTTCACTATAAAACCACGGCCCCTCTTCCATCACTGCACACACTGGACTAACAGCCACGTCATCTGAAGCCTCATCTGAGAAGGCTTTTTCAAAAACACTAGCAAAACATTCAGCTTTTTCGTAGTCATTGATCAATACAGATCCATCATCAGATAAGATCGCACCAATTCTACTCTTTTCCTTAAGCCTAGAGCTGACAAATCTGTAAAAAAGAAGTTTATTTTCGGAAGAAATAACCTTCTTTTCAGTGACTGAATTGTACTTTTTCAAACGTTTGGTGAAGATGGCATCAAATCGTCCAAATTGTTCCCAGT